GAAGAGGAGAGAGAGAGAGAGAGAGAGAGAGAGAGCTATGGCGGAAGATGTTCGGTGTTGTGAGTCGAAGTTCTTTTTGTTCCTGTTGATAATCGTAGGTCTGGTGGCCTTCGCTGGACTCATGGCTGGGCTCACTTTGGGTCTCATGTCTCTTGGCCTTGTTGACCTCGAAGTTCTTATGAAGTCTGGCCGCCCTCAGGATCGAAAACATGCTGGTAATCTCTATCACTTCCCACAGCTCTTGAAATTCATTTTGAACCTACTTGAATCCTGATGATCTCAGAGGGCTTATCACCTGAATGTTCTTGGCGTTTCAGGAACCTTTTCATTGTCTGTAATTTGTTAGGGCCTGTTGGCTATTGAAATTATGCAATACTGTGTTTAGGAACGGGAAATTAGGTAGTTGTGTTTGTCTGCGTGCTTATGAACTGAGTGGACGGGTTGATTGGGAAGTAACATTGTTGTGGTTTCTTTGGCAGCTAAGATATTGCCAGTCGTAAAGAATCAGCATCTTCTACTTTGCACACTGTTGATTGGTAACTCTTTGGCAATGGAGGTAGTAGCTACATTTGCACATCTCTGTTTGTGTAGCTTGCATAATTTGCTAATTAAACTTAACGTTGTTGTATGTGTCCCTCCTGCAGGCTCTTCCGATATTCTTAGACATGATCGTACCTCCTTGGGTGGCAGTCCTTGTCTCGGTTACTCTTATTCTCATGTTTGGAGAGGTACTTCTGATCCGACCTATCCGAAAATAATTTGTACATGTGGATATTATTCTGTTTATGTGACGTATACTTCACTGCAGATATTACCGCAAGCAATTTGCACTCGTTATGGGTTGAAAGTTGGGGCAATAATGGCACCTTTCGTTCGCGTTCTTCTCATGGTTTTCTTTCCCATTTCATATCCAATTAGTAAGGTAAAACTAGTGGAAATGATCATTGCCCTTACCTCTTCCAAGTTCTAAGCAAGGAAATGAATATTGTATACTGAGAATGATAGGATAATAGTTTTTTGGCCCTATTTACATGATATTTGGGAAGCTTTTGTGAGTATCTTATATAGCTGCAAGGAACCAATAATATTTACTGAGTCACTCATTTGGTTTCTTTTTAAAAATTTAGGTTCTTGATTGGATGTTGGGTAAAGGGCACGCTGTACTCTTGAGGAGAGCAGAGCTCAAGACTTTTGTGAACTTTCATGGCAATGAGGTTTGTCAATCAACTTGGGCATGTTGTCATGGGCATCAGTTGCATGAATTAATATACTTGAATCTGAGTGCTCTAAAGGAATATTATCCTTATTTTGTGTGCTCTGATTTTCCACTTTCTCCATTCAACATTATCTGATGAATTATGGTGTATAAAATCTATGTTGTCTTAGGCTGGAAAAGGTGGAGATTTAACTCACGATGAGACTACTATCATTGCTGGGGCACTTGAATTGACAGAAAAGACAGCCAAAAATGCCATGACATCGATATCAAATGCATTTTCCCTTGATCTGGATGCAACTCTTGATTTGTGGGTTTCTAATTTTTTTTTTTTTTTATTTTTTTTTTTTAATTTTCAGTTCTTGTGTCTGTCTCGCTTGGTTTGCTCGTTATTTCTTTTTTCTAAAGCCCTTTCTCTATTTGGGCAGGGAGACACTCAATGCTATTATGACGAAAGGCCATAGTCGAGTTCCTGTTTATTCTGGAGATCCAAAAAACATAATTGGACTAGTTCTGGTAATTCATTTGCATCATCCATAGATATGACAAACAATAACATTTCTTGATAGGTTGAAATGAGTTCTTTTTCTTGCCTTTTCTGTTGTGGCTCCTAATAGTGGGATAATGGGAGCTAAGAATGAAATTCAGAAATGGCTAAGAGGGAATTCACAGGTCCCTCTTGCTTCTCGATTTTAAAAATCAGTGATACTAAACATGCAAAGCTGAAGTACCTTGCATACACCATAAACCAGCTCTCGCACAAATTAGTGAACTTTCGGTATGCTATACTTTTGGACAAAGGAGTTTAAGAATGTGAGCTAAATTGTCAGACTGCCGACCAACGATTAGGAAAACAGAGAGCCTTGGTCAAGCTGAGTTGTTTCAAATTAAAATTTGCAACATATAAACCAAGTACAAAGCCTAATTGAGCAGATATGATTAGTTTGAATGGTGTACCTCTAATTTGCGGGTTGCTCTGGCATATGTTTTTCAATATGTTTATTCAAGTGAGTCGAAGTTAGTGAAATTGTTTTCATTCCTGACTGACACACACATATATATATTTTCATTTGGTGTGTGTTTATTGTGCCAATGATAGTTGGACTTGAGATATAGTCCATGGAATGCAGCATCTGCTCATTCGCTCCATCTTGAACATCTTGCAGGTTAAAAATCTGTTAACTGTTGATCCAGAAGATAGAGTTCCCCTTAGAAAAATGATTATTAGAAAAATTCCTCGGTAAGAGAATATCACTTGCTTCTATCTTTATGCCTTCAGATGAAATTACCTGACGACCAAGCTTGACCAGTTTTCATCCTTCAACTACTTCAGGGTTTCTGAAGACATGCCTCTATATGACATTTTAAATGAATTTCAAAAGGGCCATAGTCACATTGCTGTGGTATTCAAGAAACATGGCTACCAATCTGAGGCATTGCTGAAAAAAGGTTAGGATGTGCAAAAAAGCTGCGAGTTCTTATAATTGGATAAAAAGAAAGTAATTATGAACGACAGACTATCCAGTCATGTTTAGGGAAGTTGGGCTTGAGATCACATCAATTTTAAATTTGTTGTCTATGCTGTCCATTCCTTTATGGCTCAGATTTTACGTTCATAGTATCTCTCATCCAAATTTGTTAAGGTTCTAGACATTGGTTAGCTTGAACTCATATTTACTCGAGTCATTGAGCTCCGCCTCTTTTTAATGCTTCTCTCTGTTTCCAAATTCCTTGGTATCGTATTAGATCCACCAATTACAGGGGATTCACATCAAATGCTCTTAGTTGTGCTGCTTTCACTGTGAATCTATTGTTACTTTTGACATTTTCTTTTCTTGTCTGGTTGATTCTCAGACAATGGTGTTGACTCAGCTGCTGGTGCTGCTACTCATAATTTAGCGATGAAAATGGAATCAGTTGATGCTCAAACAATAGCTGAAAAGGCTGGGGGCCAACAGACGAAGAAAAGTCCACCAGCTACTCCTGCCTTTAAAAAACGACACAGAGGTTGTTCATTCTGCATTTTAGATGTCGAAAATGCGCCTCTTCCTGTCTTACCACCTGGTGAAGAGGTGGTTGGTGTCATTACTATGGAGGATGTGATTGAAGAACTTCTTCAGGTAAGGAATTTTTCTGTAACTTGCACCTAAGCATGGCTTCGAAAGTTTGTAGGTTATCTCTGCATGCGCTGCAGTGTCATCCTCCATATCGAAAATGTTGGTATCTTAGGATGTCTGGTGGTTAACATCTTAACTCGAAGACATTGTGCCTTCTCTTTTTCGGATACCAGCTCCTTGATTGTTGTCTAAGTTATTGGCTTCATAAAAATGGATTAGTTAGTTTGTATTGAGCTGGTTGGCTGTATGTTACTGTTAAATCATCCATCTTACCCATTATTTGAATTTGATCTTGCGTGTCATATATTCTTATGTCAGGAGGAGATATTAGACGAGACAGACGAGTATGTCAATATCCACAACAGGTACATCTTGCTAGCTTTAGAAAAGTTAATAACCCGGACTCGAACTCGTGCATGGTTTTGCTTTCTTGCTGAGATTGCACCATTACAAATTTAAGGATTGGATCCATTTTGTTGTTGTAAATATAATTCTTATGAAATCATTTGATGTTTTTGTTGGATGATCACAAAAATTAAACGGAATTCTTCCAAATGCAGAATAAAAATCAACATGCAACCATCTCCGGAAAAACCAAGCACCAATCCACCTCAGCTTTCCCCAAATGTTAATACGTGACTGCTTTGTTACCCATCAATGCCGGGTCGGACAAGTTTTCACGGGGTCTTCCGAATTGGCTACTGCAGCTCTTCCCCATTCTCTTCACTATGCCTGCCCCTTCGATAGTCAGGTTTTACTAAAACTTTTTTCTTTTAATCATACAAGAGATTTAAACTGGAAGAATGGAAGGTGAAATCTAGATTAAGAGTTAGCTGTAGCGTAATTTATCTCTATGATGGCATAGAGATGTATATTTTCCCAAGGTTAGATGATTGCACTTGGAAATGACGTTCTTTGATTGTATAGGAATAATATGTAGTTATCTTCAATCCAAAGCAAGTGTATCAATTAAGTGACTTATAGTTGTTTTTGGTATGGAATAATCTTCTGTACTACAATAATACCAACTCTTGTTATCATTATGTCATATAGCAATTTCATTTTTGTAATGGGTTCTACATCATATTCAAATTGAAAGTTTATTATGAAAGAGGATATTCTATCGAGTGTTTTTTCATTTTTGCGTGGTAGCTCGTCTTGACCATTGAGTCGTGATGATAATGAAGTAAATGGCTTTAAGTTCTTTAAAAGAGTAGGCATGATTATTATTATTATTATTATTAACCATTAATGCTACAATTCCTCATAATTCATTTAATAATAGAATTGAAAAATCTTATGCCCTCATGTTTCTATTTAGTTTTTGAACCATAAATGTTGAGCTTAATTTTGATATTGAATTTCTAATTTAATACAAGAAATTCGAGACATAAATAATTAGTAAAATTAAGCTCATTTGAACATAATTAAATTTAAATTTAATATATATAAAATAACTTTATATATATATATAATTAAAATTTAATTGAAAAAAAGTCAAGACATCACTCATTTACTAGTGTAAGATCTAACATAATTATATTTTAAAATTATAAAAATGTAATTGAAAATTTAAAAATTAGATACTAAAAATAATAAACACCTTAGCTAAATTAAAAAAAAGAAAAGAAAAGAATATATATAAATAAAAAATGGGGTAAATTTGATTGAATCCGCCAATATTCGTTTGCCTTTCTTCTGATACCTGCGTGTCATTCACGAATCTGCCTTCTCTCTCCAAACCCACGCGCGCGAAAGAGAAGGAAAGAACAGGAGAAAAAATAGCGTGGCAAAGCCGCTTCGCACGTGCACTGCACGTGCTCAACAGATACTAACACACTTCGCCGCCGGAACATTCCGTCAATTCCCGGACGTTCCGCTCTCTTGCCTAACTTTCCGAGTCCGAAACCGCAGCCTCTTCCACAGTTTTCACGCTAGATTCCCGTTCCGACTAAAACATTTGCCTCCATTTTTAAAATTTTATGATAGTATTCATCCGTGAGAGCAATGGGTTTGAATAATTCATGTTTCTGCTTAGAAATTTAACTCGGTAGCTTTTTTGTTATTCAAAATCCCGGATCTGGTATACCTGCAACTGCAAGTAAGCCTGCAACTGCAAGTAATCCATCTGAATCTCTTCATTTGGCTGGAGTTTTTCCTTTTCTGAATCTGGATGTTGAGTTCGCTTCGTTTTCAAGAGCTAGATGAGTATCCATTCACTTTGATTCGGTCGGTGGCTTCCGATTTCCGAGGTGAGTACTCGTAGTTCTTTTTTTTAAACTTCAGCTGTAAGGCTATCGGATCTTTGTATTTTAATCCGAGTTTTTATCTTCTTTGAAGTAATTTAGTTCTGTTTTTCTCGATCTTGTTCTATTAGTTTGTGCACGTATTTCCTTTCAGTTCTGTTTGGGATCGGATTACAGTTTGCGTAGTATTTTTGTAGCTTAAGATTTCCTAGAGCCATCGGTGGACGAATGGCTATAGCTCGGCTTGCTCGCCAAGAAAAACGCTCGTATGGATTTTGCGCGAAGTTGACAGCAGTGGTTATTTTAGGACTTTGTTTTATAGTCGTATGGTCGATTTTTGCTTCTCCTTCCACGTCCGTGACGATTCAGAGGGAAAGTTTCGACAACATTGGTGAACCCGTAACAGGAAACAGGAAAGTTAGCAATCCTGGAACCCAAATTGATAATAGGAAGAAAGTAGATGAGGGAAAATCGAGCAGAGATACCAAAGAAAGAGTGAAATCCGATCTAGATGGAAAGGATATGAAAAAGGTTGAGGGGTCTGATTCCAAGTCTCCCAGTAACCATGCATCTGAAAAGAATCATGGAGCAGCGAAAGAGAGAAATGAAAAACATAAAGAAAATAAACCAGAAGTTGCAAAAAAAGAAAATCATGGATCAGAGGAATCTGAGGAGGAAGATGCACCAAAGGGAAATGAGGAGGAAGAACAGGAAGTGAAAGATGGTCAAGAAGCAGAGTCAAAGGATGATGAAGCTGAAACAGAAGTTGATCTGGGTGAGTCAGATCAGGAACCTGAGGAGAGGACTGAACCAAAAGATAAAGGGAAAAAGGTCAAGAGAAAAGGTCCATTGTTTGATCCAAATGCTCATTATAGTTGGAAACCATGCCGAGCTAGAAGTAAATACAATTACATTCCTTGTATTGACTTTGAAGCTGGAGGGGTAAAACAGCAGGGCTATCGGCATAGGGAAAGGAGTTGCCCTCGAGTACCTCCGATGTGCCTTGTGCCTCTTCCTCCCAACGGATACGGACCCCCAGTGCACTGGCGGGATAGCAATTCAAAGGTACGAAAGAATATGTTCGGTTTTATGAGGATAAGTGAATTACTATCATGTTCTTTCTAATAGTAATCAAATTTGCAGATACTTTACAAGAATGTGGCACATCCAAAGCTTGCTGCTTTCATCAAGAGACATACTTGGTTGGTGGAAGATGGAGAGTTCCTTACATTTCCTCAGAATCATTCTGATCTCAACGGTGGAGTTATTCACTATCTCGAGTCCATTGAAGAGGTAAACTTTTGGCATCTTGCTTAAAAGCTGTGTCCATTAGCTTAATTTTCACGATCTAGATTTGGAAAATGTAATACAACTCCGCAACTGAGTCATGCCCTCTTTCATGTCTTATTGATACTGTTGATATCAAACAGTTAATTTTGATGATCAAGTTTCTGGTTCAAGCTTATTTGTCACATCATAGAGGTGACGAGTTCATAGGTGGATAGTGAAAGGCATGTGATCCCTCCATAGCTTGTCTTGTACGATAATGTGATCGAATGTTCAGTTAACTCACATTTATAACTCTAGGATGTGGAGAATTCCTTCATTGTTTTCTTTCCCTTTACAAGTAAAGGTGTACGTTATTTTTGGTTTCCCTACTTTTCGAGGGAATTATGTTTCTATTTATCGGTTGAAATTCGAATGCATTTGGCAGATGGTTCCTGATATTGAGTGGGGCAAGAATATTCACTTGGTTCTAGAAATTGGATGCACGTATGCAAGTTTAGGTGCTGTTCTTCTTGAAAAGGATGTTATAACATTGTCATTAGGCTTGAAGGATGACCTTGTAGACTTGGCTCAAGTTGCACTTGAGCGAGGATTTCCTACTGTGGTTGGCCCTTTGGGGAATAGAAGACTTCCTTTCCCTAGTGGTGTTTTTGATGCCATTCATTGTGGTGGATGCAGCAGAAGTTGGCATTCCAATGGTTTGAGCACCTTGTCTTGTCTTTCTTGAAGATTATTCACAAATGAGTAATGACCCCTTCTCTAATGAATGATTTTGTTTTTGTTCTCTCTCTCTCTAGACGGGAAGCTTCTTCTTGAAATGAATAGGATTTTAAGACCTGGCGGATACTTCATCTTGTCCACTAAACATGACAGCGTCGAAGAAGAAGAAGGTTCGAAATTTATCCACCGAATTTATTTCATCTAATACTCAAATTCTCAGTTGAGGAACTTCAATATAAGATTAGATGATTTTACTAACAATTCAAATGTCAATATCAGTGGAGAAAATCATTGAACACTTAACAGACTAGGTGAGATGGTAGATGTTGAAATTCTGGCTTAACCAAATAATGAGTCTTGTTCTTGCTTGCATCCTCTTTCTTTTGTTGAATACTAGATATTTTCACATTTTTCCTTAGCCCTCATCTATAGAATGCCTGTAAATTCACTTTTCAGCAATGAGTTCATTGACGGCCTCAATTTGTTGGAACATTCTGGCACATAAAACCGATGAAGTCAGTGAAATGGGTGTTAAGATATATCAGAAGCCTGAATCAAACGATATATTTGAGCTGAGGAGAAGGAAAAATCCACCTCTATGCAAGGAAAACGAAAACCCTGATGCTGCCTGGTAATTCTTTTTCCATGAGGGTGCTCTAGAGAACTTCATTTATTTTTATGGTCTTCGAGACGTAGTCGATACTCTGTGCTACTCTATACAAAGTTATTGTTATTTAGTTGTATCTGAGTACCAGGTTCATTGTGTGGTTTGATATATGGACTGTTTATTCGTTGTTTGATAACTTCTGTTTGAACAGGTACGTGCCTATGAAAACATGCTTACACACGATTCCAACGTCTATTGAACAGCGCGGAGCAGAATGGCCCGAAGAATGGCCGAAGAGACTTGAAGCTTTCCCTGAGTGGTTAAGCAATGACAAAGAAAAGTTAACTGCAGACACTAATCACTGGAAAGCAATCGTTGAGAAGTCATATCTCACTGGAATAGGTATTGATTGGTCAAATGTGCGAAATGTGATGGACATGAAAGCCATTTATGGGGGGTATGATATCATCATTAATCTGCTCAATATACTATTCTGCTTGAAATAGAATTTAATATATGGCTAAGTTCTTTGTGCTAAACATAGAAAGTGAGAATAGGAATGTATATGGACGTTAATTTTGGCATGCATTTCCAGGTTTGCTGCTGCTCTCTCTCAACAGAATGTTTCTGTTTGGGTGATGAATGTGATCCCAGTTCATGCACCAGATACACTTCCCATAATTTTCGAACGCGGTCTGGTTGGCATCTACCATGACTGGTGCGAGTCGTTTGGTACTTATCCACGATCATACGACCTTCTGCACGCCGATCATTTGTTCTCAAGGCTCAAGAACAGGTGAGAAGTTCAACACCTTTGTATTCTTTCTGCCTTGTGGTATTGACTGCTGTAAGTAACTTAAAATCGATATTGTAGGTGCAAGGAGCCTGTATTGATCGTGGTCGAGATGGATCGTATAGCACGACCAGGAGGGTGGGCAATTATACGTGAAAAGCTGGCAATTCTGAACCCATTAGAAGGCATACTGAAGAGTCTACAATGGGAGATTCGGATGAGTTATTCTCATGGAGAAGAGGGAATTCTATGCGCACAGAAGACCATGTGGCGGCCTTCACAATAATTCTTTTCAACTGAATCTAATCGTTTTCCCACAGAGATGATTCAAATTTGAGGGAGATATCAAATTTCTTCTATATGAATTTGTATCATTTCCTGATAATTGGGAAATTATTTTTTTTTTCTTCCTGAAATTGTTGGGCATTGAGGTGAATTTGTAAAGAGGGGTAGAGAGGGAAGAATTCTTTTCTTCCTGAAAGAATTATAGTGTATATTTTTTTTTTTCTTCATAATTTTGTGCCTCTGTTATAAACCGAGACAATTATATTTCACATGAAAACCAAATATATTTCAATTGGGTTTTTTCATATAATTTTATTTTTATTTTTCTGGTGCTTTAGCTCTCTCATTATATAAATTGTTTTCGGGTTGGTTAACTATTTAGTTTTTTATTTTTTAAATTACATTTATTTTAAAATTTTCTTTGGATACTTGAATTTTTAACTAAATTTAAAAAAAAAAAAAAAGCTTTATATAAACTTTTTAATATTAGCTTAGATTTTGAAAATGTTTTAAAATTTTATAAACAAAAATTTCAAAATACAAAAAAAAAAAAAAAAAAAAAA